TCGGTGTCATTGAAAAAAGCCTCGACCAACTGCTGACGTTTCTCAATTTCCGCCTTGCTCATAAGGGGCTGCTTGAGCCATTGAGCGAGTAACCGGCTGCCGATAGCGGTTTTGCAGTGGTTCAGTACACCGAAAATGCTCATCGTTTTCAGTCCATCGCGAGGTCCTGGCATTAAGTTTAAGGCCTTTAGAGCAGCAGCATCAAGCTTCATGAATTGAGCAAGATCGTGTTGATATAGCTGGTATTGACCAAAGTTGGATGGGTCTTGAAGGGCCCCAAGGTATTTGATCAGGGCAGCCGCAGAACCCATGGCGAGTTTGAGGTCAGTCTGGGGCAGCAGACTTGCAGATCGCTCATCTTTAAGTAGACGAGCAAGATCTTGCTCAATATCTTTGGTGCCGAAGTCAGGAGCCGGTCGTTCAGCAAGCGCAACACCGCAATTGTTGATGATCTGCTTGAGCTTGGACAGCTCCGGGTCCTTCTCCTTCTCGCTCTTATCAATTTGAATCAAACACTCGCGGACTCCCAGTTGAATGAGAAGAGCCTCAAAATTTGAATAGAGGTCGTTGTCGAGGAATTCGCTGACACCGAGCTCCCTGACGCTTGCATCCGCGAAGCAAACTCCTACGTTGCGGGCTTCGGAGGCCTTTGCTGTGATCTTGACGGCGATAATCATAGGGGCGGATTCAATCTGGCCCCCCAAATCATCCTCTACATCCTGGAGGTTTCCTGGGGACGCTTGTTTGACACACTTCCAGTTCATTCGACCACTGGCGCTCTGCCATATTTCCACCCTTTTGCCGAGTTTCAACAGAGCCTCGCGGAGAAATTGTCGAAATACGGTTATCGTCATTGATACCGAAGGAAGACCGCTCGCATCGTTTCGACCCAGTTGACGTAAAACTGATGTCGTTTTATATACCTGCACCCACTAGTTAGACTGGCTCCTTCATAGGAGGGACGGGGCCGACAATGTTCACGTACGGTTTGCGCAATGTATGTGGCATCTTCAGCATGGGCGGTATACCAATCCCCTCGATCGAAAATCCGCACAGTGTCTTCGCCTACATCTGGAAGAGATTTGAAGAATCGGATGAACCCGCCTTCATCGTCGAGCTTGTGCTCTAGTTAGCTTGGGGACTTCGGAGCAAATGGGAAGCGATAGCCTACCTTCAGCTCTGGTCGAGAGGCCATGACCGGCGAGGGATTAGATGTGTGATAAAAAAGGAGACCAAACGGCTTTTCAGATGAGAAGCTTGGAACTGAGATGGAAATAGATGAAATTTTTAATATAGGACGAGGTGGAATTGGCTGGAAAGTGAATGGCTTGAGAGTGTGCTAGCTCTTGGGCGCGTCTTCAGGGGACCCCGCGACCGGAAGACGCGTTTCAATTAAAAAAAGAAAGTTAGTGACGCGAGATTCCCTGTAGGGTGGCCAGAGATAATTCGGCGTTTGATTTCTCAATACTAATTGCCCCCTTAATATTAATTCTATGTAATAGACGATCGAGCACTCTTAATACCAGTCTTGGTGAGAAGTATGTTTCTCATTTGATGCGTTCTATTTCTACCTATTGAGAGTGCACAACTATCGTGTTTCTGTTTCAATGTGAGCCAAGGTGGTGACACTGCAATGAACACCAGAACTCTTGCTACATAAGCCAGAGACACAACATTTATTTACTATAGTAAAGTCAATGGTTGTTTAATATGAAACTATGTATTCCTATGAATTTTCATTGGATTTTGTATTCATGAACAATTTAATTGTCTACTTAGTGTTACATTGAATCTCAATGTCGGTGGCTTTTAACGGTCGCTAACTCGGGAATACATTCCATGCTACCTACCTATCAACATTGCTCCCGTCCTCCAAGTTGGCATATTCTACTTACCCGAAAGCAATTACTCTCAAGTTTAAGAAACCAATATGAGAATTGTCTAAGTCAATGTTACGACAAAGGAGCTATAAATTACCAATATCAAGATACCACAAGGCCTTATATCTTGTCCCTCCTACCCTACATCGGCGACAGGACTCATTAGGTTTGCTAAGACCGGACTCTAAGTGAGCTTGATATTGGCTTGGTATCTGAAGAGCACAAAAAATGAAGCTGGAAGGTGACCTAAGAAAGGAAACTAGGTGTATTTGCGATTCTTACAATTATTGAGTGCTTAATATAGATGTCATACTTTCTAGTCGATGATATTTAAGTGAGGATTATATTACTTTTGCAGTACATTAAATATGCACCTGTCCCATTCTAATTCCAATGATGCCCCTTTTTTTACCGAATCTATGAAGGAAAAGCAAGACCAAAACGCCGACATGTACTTGGGCAACAGTATATGCAATACAGAGAGCCCAGGGGGCTCTTACCAATGCACGTAATTCTATGAAGAGATGCGACCGTGAAATAATTCAAGGAAGGCTGGTTATACCTTTTTCTTGAGCCCCCATCCAGCTTGGGAAACTCTTGAGAAAATAAAGAAAGCAGAACCCAACAGCATAGAGCAGCCACAGAAGAGCTGCAACCCAAGGTAACCGCCTCCCTGTGCCGACACGATGGCTCCACCGATGGGGCTACCGACAAGTCCGCCAAAGGACTGAATTGCAAATGCAGTTCCGACACGGGTGCCGATCTGGCGGATATCGGACACCTGGGCAATGAGGGTTGGCGCAAGAGAGATGACACCACCCGAGGAGAAGCCGAAGATGACGGTGAAGACGAGGATGCCGGCCGTGTTGTTGATGGGGATCCAGATGGCCAGGCAAAAGATGGCTGACATGAGGCAGATCATGATGACGACGTTGAACCGACCGATTTTATCGGCAACGATGCCTGGTAGAATACGTCCGAATATACTAGTTGGTACAAGTTAGTGATGAATTTCTCCGCAGTATTTGAGTCGGGGGATATTGGTAATTACCTGACTGCATTGAGAATAGAGAGAAGGTATGGGATCAGTGTCTCGGACATGCCCGCGGTCTCGGCTTGCGTCAAGACATAGTTGAATGGCAGGAACATTCCGAGGTAAAAGAAGAAGTTTCCGGCGATGGTAAGCGAAAAGGCAGGCTCACGCAACCCGCTGATGTAGTCCTTGAAGACGAAGGGCTTCGGCTGTGGAGGCAGGCGGGACTTGACGGTAAAGGCAGTGATGGTGAGCAAGAAGAGAAAGAGAAAGGCCATGGTGCGCATCATCCAGGGGAAGCCAACGCTCTTGATCATTCTATCCATCATGATGGGAAGGACGACGCCGCCAAGGGATGAGCCAGAGACCATGATACCGAAAGCTGCAGCGCGGCGCTTGAAAAACCAAGTTACCAGAGAGGTCATACATGCGTTGAAGATGGCTGAAGAACCAAGGGAAGACACAATGGCTTGGGCGAGGAAGAACTGGTAGTAGTCGTGGGCTAGCGAGGTCATCATAAGACCAAAGACATAGGTGATGGCACCGATTCGAAGCAACCAAGCCGGTCCGTAGGAATCAAGAAGCCGACCAAACTGATAAAAAGTTAGAGGATGAACGAACTTTTAAACGATGCAAAGGAAAACTGGGAGAGTTAGACAAACCACAGCACCGGGGAAGGTCATGAGAAAGACCTGTGTTGACATGATCCAGCTTACAGCTGAAGGGTCATAGTTCTTCAACGGCCCATTGACATAGTATCGCTGAAATACACCCACACAATTGACTAACCCAAACGTGCAAAAAAGACCACACCAGCCTCCAAAAGTTACCAGCCAGGCCGTAGTACCGCCGTCTGGAAAGTCGCTTCCTGGAGCGGGCGGGGCAGTCTCGCCATTCTTCTCGTCGTCTACAGGGTCGTCTGTGAGAGCAACTTCGTTCTTCTCGATGTCTTTGGCATCAGCAACACTAGAGTCTGCTGCTTTTGTGTTATCACCTCGTTTGGGCTGCTCATTCACAGTCGCCGAGGAGATTGATGAGCCCGGCATCCTGGGCGAGTAGGGCTGAATGAGGCTCTCTTGATCTGGCAAGAAATCTGATACATGAAACAAAAGCTTGAGTACAACCAATGTTGGGTGCAATCGTTTAGCTGAGGACTGGATGCTTGGCGCTTGAACAGGGGCTGTCCCTTTATATATACTGATATATGAAACGAACTTGAATTGGAATACTAGGGTGGGAAAAAATATCCAAATTGTGGCTAACAAAGGTGCCAGGATAATAACCAACAAGTTCAGCGACGATGGGGTTAATAAGAAGGATCCGGGGAATGATATTATCTCCGTAGGCTTCTATACGCCGGCCCCTAGTTCTCCACCTGTTTGTCCAGGGGACCTATTTTCCTACCTATTAAAGATCCTATTGCCTCTACATTATTAATCTGCTGTCGGCAATATTGGCCTCGGATGGCGAGATGGGATGTAAGCCAGTCGAGTTGGGGTCTTTTGGAGTTCCCGATTACCAATTCAGGCCTACCCTTGACTAGCTTATCCTCATCCCAAACATGGCTTACTTCTTTCGCGAGCAGCGAAATCTCAACTTGATCAAGGGGTATGTACACTGGAGCGTAGGCAGGCAGTGTGTAGTTTGAGTTCGAAAACAATATCAAAAGAAGACAAGGACATGCCTTCTATTCTCTCGTATATTCTCTGCAAAATGAAATATTCTTATTATCCATTCTCTATTATTGTCTCTAGTTGCATTACTAGTATAAAAGATCACCACTACTGGCATTATTTCGCGTTGTCGGCCTTAGACTTAGGCGCGAGGGTAGAGCGAAGCACACAGATGTCCGGAACCAGATCGGCTCCACTTAGTTCGGACATCCGCTTACAACTGAAGAATTTAGAATCTTGTATGTATCTTTCATTGGCTGATGATTATGCGTAGATCATGGTCTTGTTGACTACGTAGCTCATAGACGAGATGGAAAGACGAGGCAAGGAAGGGTCATAATAATACAGAGAAAAACCTGCCCGCAGAGGGCGAAAATGGAGTCATTTTTTAATGAAAGCCGTCCCGTACCCGCTCTATTGCACAAATTCTTTTAGATCCTTCTTGTCCTCAAACGTAACCTTTCCGTCTTTTTGAACAATAGCCACATGAATGGCACTGGGGGCCTGCTCGGTCTTGGGTGCCTCAGTGGCTTGAACAGGTGGTAGCTTGGCCTTGCTTGCCAGTTGAACAACCTTGGAAACATCGCCTGCCGGTGCATCTGCGATTTCATTCACATCCCGGTTCGTCAAGACGTCGGAAACACGGACACCACGGCTGGACAGGAAAATCGTGCTTGGTCCCTTGAATTGCAGGAATAGCCGATCACCCCAGATCGTCCTCCGCAGCATGGTTCGCAGACTGAAGAGCACACGCGAGATGTACTGGTATGCGCTTGTCTCGCGCACTTTCTTCACATATTCCAAATCGACGAACCAATTACTCAGCGAGGGGATTTGCAAGCTAAAGCTCGAACTCTTGAACCGGAATGGTCGTGGGGGGGTTCGTGAAATAGAGTATGCAACTACGCTGCCTGGATGGGCGACGAATTCCTCGCCTTCGTCCAGAGTCAGCTGGTAGATCTGACCCGGTGCTGAGAGTGCTGCCAGTCCCCTGCCGGTTACATGTGTGCTGCCCCAGTTCGCAAGTGAAAGTCCCTGCTGAATCCGCGAGGATAGGCTGAGCGTATGTCCCGTCCAAGCCAACAATGCATTTCGTTGTGAAATCATCCAATCGGTTGTGCCATCAAGGTGCAGAACAGTAAAGGTGGTCGTCGGGCTCTTCGTCGAAATTAGGGCGGTAATGGGTGAGGAAGCTGTGATGCGTTGGTAGAGGAAGGGAACACCGAATGGCGCTCGGCCCAGAGGGTTCAGGACTGATAGTGTAGATTGGGCCTGTTAAGTGAACCGGTAACTTCATTAGTTCGGAATCCCAAAAAAAGAACCCAAATCCATTTCAGTGAGCTGAGAGGTCATACATTTTCAGGCTTGCCGGCAACAGCTACGAGTGTGCCCCTCCTCGTGTAAAGCTTTTGAGATGCCGAGAGTGTTACTGATAAAAGCGAGTATGGAGAGCCAAGGACCTCAAACCGAGCATCTTGTCAACAAAGCTAATTAGCCAATTGTCCAATTCAGCATGGGAGAGGAAGCCCGTAGCTTACCAGCAGCATCTCTTGATGAACCGAAAGCATCGCCACCAACACGAGGGGCCTCACTCGTCGGCGCGGCGCTGATCTGTATGGCTCGACATTGGCGAAAAAGATAGCTTGATGAAGCCTGAGGGCGTATCGCTCGATGCGCCGTCCGCAACATTGGCGAGCGACCTCGCATCATACTGCCTGGAGAGCTCGGAAGGGCATTGAGATATTCGATCTGCTCGTTGCATCCATAAAAAGCGCCTCTGTCGTCGGAGCCGGCTTTTTCCGCAGACGTCACTGTGGCTCACGTGCAGGTTGCTGGGACAACCTTAGCCGCCACGGAAATCCACAATAGCTCGTGCCCTAGGCTATAGGAGATCTATTCCCTACGAACTAGCCAGGGCTGCGACTCGAATACCCGGAGCATTGTCCATCACCATCGGATGAAGTGCGAGGGGCGGATTCATTGGGTCCTTTTTCTTTAGGTTTTTCGCGTTTTTTACTAACCATAGCAGGTCAATTGCTCTCCGCGATGTCTGTCCGTGTCGTAGCAAGGATACGTCCTCTCCTGGATAAGGAGCTGGACAAAGACATTATTGTCAAGCCTGACAGCGCGGAGTCTGGGAAGCCCTACACGATCGTGAAGATTCCAAACCCCAAGAACGAGGCCGAGGACTTCTCTTTCGCGTTCAATTCTGTGTATGACCAGTCTACGTCTCAGGAGACTCTGTTTACTTCTGAAGGTACGCGGTCCAGTTGGATAGGAGATGGGGAAACTGTTATGGGAATTCATTGAGCATGCTAACATGACATACGCGATCAGTGGCTCCCCATGTCAAGTCCCTATTCCAAGGTTACGATGTAACAATCTTTGCCTACGGTGTCACGGGAACCGGAAAAACTCACACAATGCGAGGAGGGCTCAAGCTTGCCGAGCGAGGAGTGATACCCCGACTTTTGAGCAGTGTCTTCCGTCGAGGCAAGAAGATCATGAAGGACACGGAAGGGAACACCACAGTACGCGTCGCCCTATCCTACTACGAGATCTACAACGACAAGGTATTCGACCTTCTCGAACCCCCGGAGAAACGGACACCTAGCGGACTGCCTCTGAGAGCAGAGGCAAGTGGCAAGACGGTTGTGGCTGGCCTTTCTGAGCGAGCATGCGAGGACCTTAAGGACTTCGAGAAGCTCTACATTGAGGCAAACAACAACCGTGTCACGGCGGCCACGAAGCTCAATGCTCATAGCAGTCGAAGCCACGCTATCCTCCGCGTCAAGTTGACGCAAACCACGGGCGACGCAGTTCGCGAAAGCACCGCGTCCGCCATTGATCTTGCCGGTTCCGAGGATAACCGAAGAACAGACAATGGCAAGGAAAGACTCATCGAGTCTGCTGCTATTAACAAGAGTCTATTCGTTCTCAGCCAGTGTATCGAGGCCATTTCTCGAGGCGACAAGCGGATACCTTATCGGGAGTCGAAGATGACGCGCATCCTGTCTCTTGGCCAGAACAACGGAATCACCATCATGATCCTTAACCTGGCTCCAATGAAGAGCTACCACCTAGACACTCTGAGCAGTCTTAATGTCAGCTCGAGAGCCAAGCGTATAGAGGTTCGTGAAATAGAGAATGAGGTGGTTTTCAAGCAGTTTCCTAAGACGAGCTCAACCATCACTTCTGGTAACATTCACCGTCAACCTCTTCGACCCCTTGCCAACGCGCACAATGTGCACAATGGAAATGTCGCTGCCGCTGCAAAAGCTACCGATGCGAATAAGCCCGTAAAGGCCTTCAGTGTCTATACTGACAAGTCGAAACCCACACCGGTGACCTCCCAACCACTCGTGCTGAAGCCGCTCGCAAACACCAGCAACACTCGTCGTTCCACCTCTGCGAAGCGACCATCCGACCAGGAGGCCCCTCTTGTCAGACCAAGTAAGTTGGCTCGGCCAATTGGCCAACCCTTGATGCCACGATCGACAGCAACCATGACGGCTTCGTCTACCGCATCCAAGATGACCGTGTCCGCAGAGGACATCGAGGCTATGGTGGAAAAGAAGGTTGGGGAGATTTTGGCAGCAAGAGCCGCAGCAGAGATGACGGCCGTTCCGGTCCAAGTTCACGTTCAACCCGGGCTCGACGACGCGGTGCAGAAACGGTTGGATGCATTGGAGCGTCGGATAGAGAGCGATGAATGGCGCGAAGATGCTAAATCGGACGGCTTACGGTTCCTCCTAGCCGCAAGGCAGCACAAAGAGAAAGGAGAGGATGCTGCCGCGTTGAAGGCGTATGAGATGGCGCTTCCTTTCTTCCCAGGTCAGGCGAAGCTTCTGGGCAAGATTGAAAGATTGAAGGCGAAGCTTCATAACGCCGAGAGACCAGGGCGTGAAAATTTCTTCGACACGAAGGAGAGGGTGACGAGGAAGAAGAAGCGGAGAATCACCTCTGATGATGATGATACGGCGGATGCCGACTATGAGGATGCTGAGGCGGATGTTGAAGAAGAGAGGTCTGTGAAACCTGCGTCTCGCCGACCACGAGTGAAGGCTGTTCCTCGCACAATCCTCCCCGATGATAATGGCCCTCCATCTCCCCGGGCCCAGCAGCTTCTGGATATTGTGAACTCGCGCGATCTTGTACAGATCAAGAGCCTCGTCGGATTTGGAGCAAAGAAGGCCAAAGATTTGGTGGATTACCTTGAGCTTATGAGCGTGGACGAGGAAAATCGCATCGACAGCCTGGGTCAGTTGAGGGCTGTGCCAGGTATGGGTGGCCGCACCATTGACAGGGCGTATGAAGGCCTCCTCGCCATGTGATGGGCGTAAAAAGTGTCAGCATCGTAAGTGACCTACAGAGAAGGGTGCTTACAACTTGGAGTATTGTTTTTGTTTTTTCGGCATTAGGGACGGCGTTTTTTTGGGATCTTGCTTCAATATATATCATAGGGCGTGGTGTCCTTTTTAGGATACACTTTTTTTTTTGGGAACCGGTTGCATTTAATATTGGTTTAGATTTTCTTGCATTTTGATAGTTTGGCCATCAGCTTGGCCGTATATACCCAGAGTCCTCACTGCCTCTCGCTGAGGGATCCACGGTAGCGGACGATGTTGCTCTATATTCGAATCAAAAGCATTAGCTGGCTCTTGTTTGAAACATGAAACCCTGTCTCATCCAGTGAATTATTCCTTTTTAGAAATGAAAAGTGCACCTCTGACGTCGATCTCACCGTCCGCCGTAGGTTTAATTGCTCCTTTGCAAGGGAATGGCTCTCGCGCAACGACACGACAGCCGCCATCATGACCCACTCAAACCATTCGCTCCCGAGGCCCCAATTGACGAGCCGCATGCGGGCAGTGGTCGATTGGGATAACGCCAAGGGAGAACAATGAAGGACGGTTCGTTGCTCGGCCTCGCTGCTTGTGCCACGCGCGAGTGGTGTGGTCCGGCTCAGGCTGTGGCCGCGGGTGGAACCACTCCCGTCCCAGCCGTCTCGCCAAGACACTGTCGCAGATCACACAACGGGAGATGGAGAGAGACAAGCGAGCGGGACAAGACATGATATGACATGGGACACGCGACGCAGCATGTCGTAGGCAAAGTCGATCACAATCAAGTTTAGTTTTCAGGTTTTCCACCGGGGCACTTTGCAGATACGACCGTGTCTATATTTCAGATACTCGTGACTACTGCTAGAGATGTATGTAGATCAAAATATATAGTTCTGCTTCTTGACTCTTGAGCGCCAAAGAGTGACCCAATGAATGTGCCTGTGAAGGGGGGAGCCGCAGCCCGAAAACAAAAAAAGGGAATAGGTAAAGTTGAGTAAAAAGCAAAAATCGTGAGGCCCCCAAAAAGTTTAATAGTTCGCCCGAAAAACAATGCAGGACTTGTGTGAAAATTAGTCGTAGCCAAGAAAGGTTTCGCTCTCTACTCCAGGCTGTCGAAAAGAGTGGTGACGAACCCCAACTTGTTCTTCATATCTGTGTGAACCCTCTCTCATATTTCCATCCCGGAAAAAATAACCCATTTGTACATTTCCCTTGAATCTTTCATGTCTTTCTCGTCATTAAGGTTCTACCGGATCATGCTTAATCTTCGCTCTGCCTTGGTTGTTTGCTTCTCAAAGGTGCCGCCGAAGCCGGGCATGGAGCTGTAACGGTTCAGTCTCTTGCGCTCAGCCGTTGCTGTGGGCTGTGTGGATGATGGCATGGCAGCAGCCGAGCTGGGAGTCTCGGCAACGGGAGGCACGGCAGTCACGGTGAAGCCGGGCCCAGCCTTGTCGCCGTGTAGCGCGTTGGAGCGGTCGGTGGCATCGGACGAGGTGGAGGATCCAGTGCTGTTCTGGTAGATGTACTCGCCGTCGACGTAGACGGCGTTGGAGACGAATGCCGAGCGTCGATGACGGCTGCGGGTGTAGCGCTTCTCAAGGCGGAGAAGCTCCAGCTTGGCCTGGATCTTGTCGAAGAGACTCTTGCCCATGGTGACGTTTGGGACGGGGAGTTTTCTACGGATGGGAGGGTTCGTGTAATGCGAGCTCGTGCCGGATGGGTGCTCGGCTAGGTCTTTGTGCTCGGTTATCGATTGAAGCCCAAGGAGGATGACACTTTTGACAGGTGCGACAGCTCTCTCGTTGGATTGCTCGTTGGATTCAACACCGTGGGTATTATGGCGAGTCGCTATTCGTACGTTGTCTGATAGGAGCCGAAGACAAGCAAGCAAACAAACACGAGGAGGTCGATTGTGGATGTAGAGAAACGAGAGGCAACGGCCGTGAGAAGGATGATATCGCCAGGAAATCTTCCGTCTGTCAATGGTCCGATTTTTTTTTTTCGGGGGGCGGGGATGCCAGAGAATGAGTGACTGATGAGGGCAGGGGGGAAAATAAGGAGGTTTGGGAAGAGAGCGCGCACGATGTAGATAAATGGCAGGCCTACGGTTGAGGAAGACGGTTGGACCAGCGTCAGAATTTGGCAAGCGGATGGACACCCCGGACAGGTACTATTGCTCCGTGCGTTTCTAGCCTGACAGCCCAAGACGAAAGAGGGTATGCGCGATATGGTTTGCACTCAGCAGCTTGGGTCGAGGACGATAAGATGGCCCAAGGATGGGCTGGGAGGGGCTTTGATCCCGGGTTTCTGCATGGCAACGACTCGAAGACACCCACCTGGCGA